CAAATCATTTATCAACACAGAGGTAAACACTTGCAATAAAAAATTGATGAATAAAAAATGTGCAACACTTGGGCATCTTTTTTGCCCAAACGTTTCACCTGCACAACAGACTTCAGTCTAATTCAGGTAACACTAGAGACAGCAGCAGCCTGAAGATGACTGTTGTGCAGGTGGAATGCTTATGCAATACAATAGAAATGCCCAAGTGTCGTATATGGGTCTTATTCATCAACTTGTCGGTACTGTATACCAATGTTGACACAGTAAAAGCTTCTTTTATAAATGTATCTATTTCTTGACTGTTCTTGGTAATAATTCATATGGATTCAAATGAATGTTGATAAGGTAAAGGTTTTTGGCAAATTGTTCCAGCAACAGTATTGTGACATGTTATTGTAAAACCAACAACACATACGTAGTCCATATTGAATTGTTGGTTTTCTTTCTGCTGCAGCATAATTATGTTCATGAATGTGTGTGTGTGTTAAGGTTCTCTGTCAGTCTTGTTGTCATAGTTTATTGCAACCAAAACACAGTATGTTATATACTCCTACTGTGCAGACAGTACTGGGTTAAGAACTTCTGGTGATCTCTGATAGTTTTAGCAGTAAGGATTGCTACATCCATGTTTGCTTTTTGAAGAATTGGGACAGTGGTGTTGGCAGACTGCTCAGTGTGGCAGATCAGTCATCTCTCAGTGTTTGTATCACCATTGGTTGTAATGTGAATAAGGAAGGCTTTTAGTTTTGAAGTGGATAATGTGTGTTAGGAACTTTATGTTGAACACCTCAATGTATTTTTGTTCTTCTGAACGATTATCATCATTGCAAATTTGGAGTGCTTGGAGGAAGAAACCAATGAAAACTCCCTGCTTGGTTTTGAGGTCTTGGTTATAAAAGTAGTGCATTAAGTCATTCTTGTTGGTGGGTTTTCTGTATGCTTTTCATTTATGAATATCTCCATCCTCAATGAGTAATTTTTTTTTTTATTATTATCACACCGGCCGATTCCCACCAAGGCAGGGTGGCCCGAAAAAGAAAAACTTTCACCATCATTCACTCCATCACTGTCTTGCCAGAAGGGTGCTTTACACTACAGTTTTTAAACTGCAACATTAACACCCCTCCTTCAGAGTGCAGGCACTGTACTTCCCATCTCCAGGACTCAAGTCCAGCCTGCCGGTTTCCCTGAACCCCTTCATAACTGTTACTTTGCTCACACTCCAACAGCACGTCAAGTATTAAAAACCATTTGTCTCCATTCACTCCTATCAAATACGCTCACGCATGCCTGCTGCAAATCCAAGCCCCTCGCACACAAAACCTCCTTTACCCCCTCCCTCCAACCTTTCCTAGGCCAACCCCTACCCCGCCTTCCTTCCACTACAGACCGATACACTCTTGTAGTCATTCTGTTTCGCTCCATTCTCTCTACATGTCCGAACCACCTCAACAACCCTTCCTCAGCCCTCTGGACAACAGTTTTGGTAATCCCGCACCTCCTCCTAACTTCCAAACTACGAATTCTCTGCATTATATTCACACCACACATTGCCCTCAGACATGACATCTCCACTGCCTCCAGCCTTCTCCTCGCTGCAACATTCATCACCCATGCTTCACACCCATATAAGAGCGTTGGTAAAACTATACTCTCATACATTTCCCTCTTTGCCTCCAAGGACAAAGTTCTTGTCTCCACAGACTCCTAAGTGCACCACTCCCCCTTTTCCCCTCATCAATTCTATGATTCACCTCATCTTTCATAGACCCACTCCCAAATATCTGAATACATTCACCTCCTCCATGCTCTCTCCCTCCAATCTGATATCCAATCTTTCATCACCTAATCTTTTTGTTATCCTCATAACCTTACTCTTTCCTGTATTCACTTTTAATTTTCTTCTTTTGCATACCCTACCAAATTCATCCACCAATCTCTGCAACTTGTCTTCAGAATCTCCCAAGAGCACAGTGTCATCAGCAAAGAGGGACTGTGACAACGAGTAATGTATGCAGAAATGGTAAGGATCCGTCTCCACATTCTGGTGTTAACTGTATAGAGGACTTGACCATGATAAGTGAGTCTTATGAAGTGAGTCAGGTTACAACTCTAAACAACAGTGACCAAGATATCATCCACTTCTCCATGGAATCATCTACATATCCGAGGCAAATGATGTATCATGGGATGATGTTCTTGAAATGGTCTCTCCCAAGGTGTTCTAAATAGAGGTTTGCTGAAATTGCTCTGAGTGGTGACCCTGTAGCCAGTCCTAATTTTGTTTGTAAATGTTATTGCTGAAGGTGAAGAGGTTGAACCTGACACAGGTTTCCACCAGCACTTTATTGGCCTAATAGAAAACTGCTGTTAAATTTTAGAGGTTTATTAGAATGGTATAATTAATTAAAAGATGATACAATGGTAGTTGTATTCTCTTTGATGGAAGATGTACCTCATGTGATTGGTTCTGTGATTACTGGGAGATGCACTTCATGTGATTGCTTCACTGGGAGATGCACCTCATGTGATTGCTTCTGTGATCCTTGAAAAAAAAAGAGAGAGAAACTATGGCATGTTATCAGATTGTTGTAATTATTGGTGTATTTAATAATTTAGTGGATAAAACATTGGTTGTGGTATTCACTTCCACAGGAGATACCATCAGGTGATTGGTTCTGTGATCGCTGCAAAAAAAAAGAGAAACCAAAGAGTCCACGCAAAAATCGTCAGATTTATAAGGACGTGTCTGATGATGAGATGGGCTTCGCAGATGTTACTGTTGATGATGAGAACAGGTTAGTGTGGGGCTTATGTTCGTGTTCTCACTACCACCACCATCTCTTCCTCCTTCCCCCTTGTTCTCCTCTCTACATCTTTCTTTTATATCAAAATGCGTATTTTACTCTGTTACAGTTTCCTGTATAAATATACCTTACAAATGTGTATACATTTTAAAATTGGAAAGTTACTTTTTCTCTGAAAATGTGTAAATTCCTTCAGAAGAACATTGACCTGTTTTTGAGTTACAAGTATCAATTCCATCTTGTAGCTTAGATTGAAGCAGCTGTACACATTATACACTCTTGTACAGTATCCATAAAATTATATGCCAGACTCTCAGTAGCAACATGTATGCCCACCCTTGATAATGAGAGATGATGCTCTGAATAATGAAAGTAGTCACCTCATTGGCTCATTTTGGGCAACTGAAAAACTCCATAGAATGGCTAATAAGAGGTGCCACTCTATATGCTTGTGGTGAAAGAGCTGATATTTGTACAGAAAGCTGATGCAGCCATGTAACCTAAATTTGCCCAATAAACAATGTTGCAGCGAGGAGAAGGCTGGAGGCAGTGGAGATGTCATGTCTGAGGGCAATGTGTGGTGTGAATATAATGCAGAGAATTCGTAGTTTGGAAGTTAGGAGGAGGTGCGGGATTGCCAAAACTGTTGTCCAGAGGGCTGAGGAAGGGTTGTTGAGGTGGTTCGGACATGTAGAGAGAATGGAGTGAAACAGAATGACTTCAAGAGTATATCAGTCTGTAGTGGAAGGAAGGCGGGGTAGGGGTCGGCCTAGGAAAGGTTGGAGGAAGGGGGTAAAGGAGGTTTTGTGTGCGAGGGGCTTGGACTTCCAGCGGGCATGCGTGAGCATGTTTGATAGGAGTGAATGGAGACAAATGGTTTTTAATACTTGACGTGCTGTTGGAGTGTGAGCAAAGTAACATTTATGAAGGGGTTCAGGGAAACTGGCAGGCTGGACTTGAGTCCTGGAGATGGGAAGTACAGTGCCTGCACTCTGAAGGAGGGGTGTTAATGTTGCAGTTTAAAAACTGTAGTGTAAAGCACCCTTCTGGCAAGACAGTGATGGAGTGAATGATGAAGAAAGTTTTTCTTTTTCGGGCCACCCTGCCTTGGTGGGAATCGGCCAGTGTGTTAATTAATGAAAATAAAAAATATTCATCAAGCATATGAAAGTTTGGAAGGAGGGGGTAAAGGAAGCTGTGTGTGCGAGGGGCGAGTTAGATATGAGTGAGTGGAGGCAAATGGTTTTTGAGTTAACATGCTGTTGGATTGTGAACAAGGTAATATTTATGAAGGGATTCAGGGAAACTGGTTAGCTGGACTTGAGTCCTGGAGGTGGGAAGTACAGTGCCTGCACTCTGAAGAAGGGGTGGAGATATGTTTCATGTCTCTGGCAAGACAGTGATAGTGTGTGTGTGATGATGAAAGTGTTTCTTTTTTATTGGGTCACTCTACTTTGGTGGGAAATAGGAAAAAAAAGATGTTAGGGTCGGTTCCTAAAGGTTGGGTTTCTGAAAACTCCATTTTTTCTTATAGGCTGATGTGAAACATAAACCACTTGCTTGAACAGTCCTTCCATCTGGACGATAGGTGGGTGTATGATGCTATGTAAGGAGTATCACAGTCACTGGCCCTACAGTTCTCAGTTACTAGCAGCACTGTTCACACTGTACTTTTACCTAAAACACTAAACACACTATGACACTATATAATATATTCGCTGATAAATTCTTTCAGAACCTCATAAATCATATAAAGACTTAAGTGTTGTTTACAGTGAAGTGGAGAACCAGGACTCTTGCTTCGTGTGTGAGAAGCCTGGTCGGCTCATCTGCTGCGACACTTGTCCACTGGCCTTCCACCAGGCCTGTGCAAATCTACGCAAAATTCCTCAAGGAAACTGGTCATGCCATCACTGTCACTCTAACCCACCTATCAAAGGTAAACTTGATTACTGATTAAATTGAGATTGAGGGATGCAGTAGACTTAGTTTTATAGAATGGAGAGGTTAAATACAGCTTGTGCGGTAAACATTTACTCCTGGAGTTCCTTGTGTGCTACATCTTGCTTATATTTGCAGTTAGATAAGTGTGAATTTATGAAGTTCCTTGATGTCTGTAAAAGTTTTTAGGTGTCTGTCTCTGTTCTCTTATTTTCCACTGTGATATGTTATCGTTTTTGTGGTCATGCATTTAATTTTGATTTCATCTTATAAACGTATTGTATTTTGAATTTTCATGATCATATTTTTTTCCAAATATCTACATTGTTTCAGGTTGTCTGCATAATGCAGGCTACATAAGGATGCTATGTTCCTTCAATATATTAAACAGATAAACAGCACAAAACATTGGTGCATACACACTTATTATCACCCACTTTTCACATCCGACCCTTATTTTAATCCTTATAATCCTTGAATTTATACATTTATATTCCTTCTCTCTCCATAACTGATCCTTCAACATTATTGCTACCCCTTCCTTAGCTCTAAGTCTCTCAGATACTCATGACTTAATCCCATTTATTTTTCCCCACTGGAACTCCCCTACCCTCTTCAGCTTTGTTTCGCTTAGGGCTAGAACATCAAACTTTTTTTCATTCATAACATTAGCAATCATTTCTTTCTTTCATGCACATTCAAACATCTCAATTTTATAAAGTTTTTCTTTTCCTTCTTTTTAGTAGTTTATACAGGAGAAGGGGTTACTAGCCCATTGCTCCCGGCATTTAATTGCCTCCTACGACACACATAGCTTATGAAGGAAAAATTCTGTTCCACTTCCCCATGGAGATAAGCAGAAATATACAAGAACTAGGAAGAAAATAGAAGAAAACCCAGAGGGGTTAGTATGTATGTATGTATATGCTTGTACATGTATGTGTAGTGTGACTTAAGTGTAAGTAGAAGTAGCAAGACATACATGTAGCTTTGCATGTTTGTGAGACAGAAATGGACACCAGCAATCCTACCATCATGCAAAACAGTTACAGACTTGCGTTTCACATTCATTTGGTAGGACGATAGTACCTCCCTGGGTGGTTGCTGTCTACCAACCTACTGCCTATATGGAAGATATATTACAGAAATAGAGATGATTTTGATTGGTTTTAGTACTGAAAATAGCTTAAAATTGAACTCAAAGAAGCATAAATGTTTTTGCCACTGTTCAAGAGTAAACAAATGACGTCACACGTCCAATACACGGCAGCTGGTGGGTCTAATGTGCGTTCATGATTGTGCTGGTATTATTTATACAATATTGTATAACAGTAAATCTTCTATTTTTTGATGTGAATAAAAATTCATTATATGAATAAAAACTCAAAATGGAATTCATTTGTAAAGCCTGGAAACATAACTAATAAACAGGGGAATTTTAGTTCCAGGAATGTCTTCATTGTTTATTCTGGGCCCTATTTTGAAATTGGATAGTTGAAACGGTTGGCTTGGTGATTTCTTGTGCTCAGTCAATAAAATAGAAATACATAATACTATTGAAATAGCTAAGAATTTGGTCGACTGGAATTGTGTAATTGGCCTAAAATAGTCAAAGTGGGCAAAATCGCCGGTGCGTAAATATCGCTAATGCAGCAAAACTCTCGAGAGCATTATTTCATCAGTTTTCCATCAAATTTCGTACTTTTTGTTTTATTATCTTCAGAAAGATTCTCTACCATTTCATAAGAAAAAGTAACAAAAAAGTTTTTTGAAAATTCTTGGACCCTGTGGACAAGTTTCAGATTGGGGGTGTAGACTCTGAAAGGGTTAAGATGAATGTTTGTGTATCATTACAGTGGGTAGTGATGATTCATCACTTATTGATTAACCCTTTCAGTGTCAGTCCCATAGTACTACAGCTTGAAAGCCAGTGTTGCTCCTGTAATACTATGCCAAAATTTTGGTGCCTTCAGATCTAGCGAGAGAAAGCTGGTAGGCCTACAGTGAGAGAATGGGTCTGCTTGGTCATTGTGTGCGGTATAAAAAAAATCATGGAGCCAGTGGTGCATTCTGGGAACAGCATTTCAGTATGCCTTGTTTTCTATGCATCGTGGTAAAAAATGCCTCACTCCCTGGCAAATTGGGACTCTTCTTTTCCCAGGTGACAGTTCTAACACAGATGGAAGTGTCAGTGAAGATGAATTTCATGGTTTTGAGGAGTTTGTGACCGACAGCAATACCCAGGAAACTAGAAGGAAGGAAATTTCCGTGTGGGTTGGTGGGAAAGATGGTATGGGTAATATTACAATTGGGATGGTATATACATGTACATGTGGTAGCAGGTGGTAGTTGTGGTTTTGTAATGCGTCATGTACCCAGGCTGGTAGCCATGCCGCTGACTTAGCACATTCACAAGAAAGGCCAGCTTCAACCACCCACACACCACAATAACCTGTACAACCACAATAACCTGCACAACCACGACAACCTGCACAATCATAAAAACCTGCACAACCACAATAACCCGCCAACAAAAATGCACTGACACCCATTTCATGAGCGAGGAGTGTAAAACAGCGGTGTGTATAACACCATGTTTCAAAGAGTTCCACAAGCTGCAGCACTTCTAGGAATGTATCCAGTGACTCTATATGTGTATATATATTATAGAACAATAGTAATAACTTTTTTTATTGTTGGTTTGTATAAACATGGTTTGTAAACAATATAATGATAATTTTTGTGTGGTTATTGTGTTGCACACAACGAGTGTGTGTATGTATGTATGTATGTATGTATGTATGTATATATATATATATATATATTCAAGGTAGTAGGTTGGTAGACAGCAACCGCCCAGGGAGGTACTACCGTCCTGCCAAGTGAGTGTAAAACGAAAGCCTGTAATTGTTTTACATGATGGTAGGATTGCTGGTGTCCTTTTTTCTGTCTCATGAACATGCAAGATTTCAGGTACGTCTTGCTACTTCTACTTACACTTAGGTCACACTACACATACATGTACAAGCACATATATACACACCCCTCTGGGTTTTCTTCTATTTTCTTTCTAGTTCTTATTCTTGTTTATTTCCTCTTATCTCCATGGGGAAGTGGAACAGAATTCTTCCTCCGTAAGCCTGCGTGTTGTAAGAGGCAACTAAAATGCCGGGAGCAAGGGGCTAGTAACCTCTTCTCCTGTATATATTACTAAATGTAAAAGGAGAAACTTTCGTTTTTCCTTTTGGGCCACCCCGCCTCGGTGGGATACGGCCGGTGTGTTGAAAGAAAGAAGAAAGATATATATATATATATATATATATATATATATATATATATATATATATATATATATATATATATATTATATATATATAATTTTTTTTTTTTTTTTTCAACAAGTCGGTCGTCTCCCACCGAGGCAGGGTGACCCAAAAAACAGAAAGAAAATCCCCAAAAAGAAAATACTTTCATCATCATTCAACACTTTCACCACACTCACACATTATCACTGCTTTTGCAGAGGTGCTCAGAATACAACAGTTTAGAAGCATATACGTATAGAGATACACAACATATCCCTCCAAACTGCCAATATCCCAAACCCCTCCTTTAAAGTGCAGGCATTGTACTTCCCATTTCCAGGACTCAAGTCCGACTATATGAAAATAACCGGTTTCCCTGAATCCCTTCACTAAATATTACCCTGCTCACACTCCAACAGATCGTCAGGTCCCAAGTATCATTCGTCTCCATTCACTCCTATCTAACATGCTCATGCACGCTTGCTGGAAGTCCAAGCCCCTCACCCACAAAACCTCCTTTACCCCCTCTTTCGAGGACGACCCCTACCCCTCTTTCCTTCCCCTATAGATTTATATGCTTTCCATGTCATTCTACTTTGATCCATTCTCTCTAAATGACCAGACCACCTCAACAACCCCTCTTCTGCCCTCTGACTAATGCTTTTATTAACTCCACACCTTCTCCTAATTTCCACACTCCAAATTTTTCTGCATAATATTTACACCACACATTGCCCTTAGACAGGACATCTCCACTGCCTCCAACCGTCTCCTCGCTGCTGCATTTACCACCCAAGCTTCACATCCATTAAGAGTGTTGGTACTACTATACTTTCATACATTCCCTTTTTTTGCCTCCATAGATAACGTTTTTTGACCCCAACATATACCTCAACGCACCACTCACCTTTTTTCCCTCATCAATTCTATGATTAACCTCATCCTTCAAAAATCCATCCGCCGACACGTCAACTCCTAAGTATCTGAAAAGATTCACTTCTTCCATACTCCTCCTCCCCAATTTGATACCCAATTTTTCTTTATCTAAATCTTTTGATACCTCATCACCTTACTCTTTTCTATGTTCACTTTAACTTTCTACTTTACACACATTCTCAAACTCATCCACTAACCTTTGCAATTTTTCTTTAGAATCTCCCATAAGCACAGTATCATCAGAAAAAAGTAACTGTGTCAATTCCCATTTTGAATTTGATTCCCCATAATTTAATCCCACCCCTCTCCCGAACACCCTAGCATTTATTCTTTTACAACCCCATCTATAAATATATTAAACAACCATGGTGACATTACACATCCCTGTCTAAGACCTACTTTTACGGGAAAAGTATTTCCCTCTCTTCTACACACCCAAAACCTGAGCCTCACTATCCTCATAAAAGCTCTTTACAGCATTTAGTAACTTACCACCTATTCCATATGTACTTGCAACATCTGCCACATTTCTCCTCTACCACTCTATCATATGCCTTTTCTAAATCCATAAATGCAAAAAAAACTTCCCTACCTTTATCTAAATACTGTTCACATATATGCTTCAATGTAAACACTTGATTTACACTTTCCCCTACCCACTCTGAAGCCTCCTTGCTCGTCCGCAATTTACATTGTCTTACCTCTAATTCTTTCAATTAAAAACCTTACCGTATACTTTTCCTGGTATACTCAGTAA